ACCTTCAACATTCAAACCACACAACATCCCTGAAAGCAGCTCACATTTTCCAGCCCTTTTTTGCTGCTCCCATCATCTCCTACTCACTTTCAACCCTCTCAGGATGGAAAATGCAGCTGGGTGGAACTTCAACCTTTTCTTCTGCTCAAAAAACCAGTTTTAAAACCGAGCCCTTGGGAGAACCTTCACATCTAATAAATAAACAAGTAATTGCAGCAATACCAGAAGTAATAAATCAATAATAAATGAGTAATTGCAGCGTCCTGCTGGGCTGTTTCTCTTGCAGGAATCACAGATCTGTGCCCAGCAGCCGGTGCAGAGTGAGCTGGTGCAGAGGTGTCAGCAGCTGCAGTCCCGTTTATCCACGCTGAAAATCGAAAATGAAGAGGTCAGTTAATAACTCAAACTCAGCAGCTCCTCTTTGCCTGTTCCTCTGGGTTTTTTGATGGTTGTTGTGATGGTTTTTTATCAACAATTGTGGTAAAATTCAGGGCTGAGGTATCCTGTACATAAATTAATGCAGGAAAGTTGGATGTGTGGAAAAAAATCCTTTAAAATACCTCTGACTGTAATGGTGCTGTATTCCCTATTGTCTGCTTTAGGCCCAGAGAAAAAAACCTTTTTCCCCTTTTCCCATGCCTGGTGGGCATTTGGTTTGTTTTGTTAAATAAATAGGKKTTTTTTTTCACTTTCCTCCATGGGATTTGTTTCCAAGCCTGGCTGGGAGAGGGGTGCTGCTGGAATTTGGGGGTGTTTGCCTCCCAATTTATCTCATAATCTCTCTCCCCATCCTTGAGCTGATAAGACTGCTTGGGTTGCAGAAGTTGCATTTGGATRGCAAAGGGAAAAAGAGCAATTCAATGTTTTGAAGTGAGTTTGCATAACCTGAATTAAAGCAATTTTTGTTTACTTGGGATCTGAGATGAGAAGATGACGTGAGTGGGGATCTGATCTCTGCACCTCTGTGCTCGGAAACTTCTGGGCCAAATYTGCAACTCCTTTTATGTCTGGAAAGTTGATTTTGGCCCTCAGTAAAAATGTACAAAATCCTGTTTGTCACCCACATTTGACACCCAGGAGRTGCAGTTGAAGACAATTCCAACACCTCTGTTCCAGCACTTTTCACTTTGAGGTTGAATTTCTCCACATCTCCCTCTCCCATCCTTTGAGATGCCAGCTGTGATCCTGGCAGGTTCTGGGTGCTGCCAGCTCTTTGCTTGCATGGAYTGAGTGCTGTTAATGAGCCAAAATTAATTAGAGCACACAGGGTGTGAAACCAGTAATGTCTGTTCGTTAGCAAAGCGCTCCAGGGGACGTCGCTCCCTTGTTTTTTTGCTCACAACATCCAAACTGGTTTTGGGTTCTCTCTTCATGCTGGGCAGGTGAAGAAAACRATGGAGGCCACGCTGCAGACGATCCAGGACATTGTCACCATCGAGGATTTTGATGTTTCTGACTGCTTCCAGTACAGCAACTCCATGGAGTCGGTGAAATCCACAGTGTCGGAAACGTTCATGAGCAAACCCAGCATCGCCAAGAGACGGGCGAACCAGCAGGAGACAGAGCAGTTCTACTTCACAGTAAGGGGTTCATCCTTAGGAATTCAGGTTTTTTCCTTTTGGGAATTTCTTCCCTGTGAGGCCCTTGGGTGGAATTCCCAGAAAAGCTGTGGTTGCTCCATCCCTGGAAGTGTCCAAGGCCAGGTTTTGGATGGGGTTTGGAGCACCCTGGGTGGTGGAAGCTGTCCCTGCTTGTGGCTTTTAGAGTTGGTCTTTCCAGCCCAAAGCAGGATTTGAGGCTGGAATCAGGATTTGATAAAAACTCTGATGCATTTGATGATGGGAACTGGAGCATTGCATTATTAGCTGAGAGCATCGCCAAGAGACGGGTGAACCAGCAGGAGACAGAGCAGTTCTACTTCACAGTAAGGGGCTCTTTTTTAGGAATTCAGGTTTTTTCCTTTTGGGAATTTCTTCCCTGTGAGGCCCTTGGGTGGAATTCCCAGAAAAGTTGTGGTTGCTCCATCCCTGGAAGTGTCTAAGGCCATGTTTTGGATGGGGTTTGGAGCACCCTGGGGTGGTGGAAGCTCTCTCTGCCCATGGCTTTTAGAGATGGCCTTTCCAGCCCAAAGCAGGATTTGAGGCTGGAATCAGGATTTGATAAGAACTCTGATGGATTTGATGATGGGAACTGGAGCATTGCATTATTACCTGAGAGCCTTCTTTGTGTTCACCCTGCTGGATTTTTGAGATATCTCCCCATTCTGAAGAGGGCTCTGTGATATTTGCAGAGTTTGTGTTTCTGAGTGTGAACGTGTCCTGCTTATAAC